AAGGGACACAGATCAAGTATGACACTGAATGTAGTTTAAATTTCATCTGGCATTCAAATGCAGTCTACTTTAGTCTTGAACTAGTCTAAGTCCTTTTGAATATATTTTGCCTTTTCCCTTCTCGTTGGTATCATCTGCAGACTTTTGCTAGTTGTACCAGAATCTAGATCATTGATCTAAATTAGGAAGAGCAATTGTCCAAGTACAAATCCCTGGGGTACTCCACTCATTACATCACCCCAATTTAAGCAGACACTCCTCATGTATACCCTCTGTTTCTTGGCCATTTAGTAATTCTGAGAATGTATCTCTTATGAGGAACTTTCTGAAAAGTCTTCTGTAAATCTGAATGGACAGTACCATATTAAAAGATTTGTTTGTGTCAATTACCAAAGACTTCTGGTAAGCTGGTTAAGCAAAAACTTTGTTTTCTAATTGATTCATTTTGAATGAAATGTTCTATATAAATACAGTTAATTACTATTAATTATTATGGGAATCGTCTTGTGTGCATGTGTTTATGGTGTCCTGACCACGTATAGTCCTGTTTTGCTTTTGAAAAACAGGCTATGGGCAGCTGCAACCCAGGAATAAGTGGCTTTGTGATTATGGCTAATTGACAAAGTCTGATTGGCTCATTTGGGATTACAATTCAATGAGTTTATGTAGATTTCTGTTTTTTCCATTTTTTACAGGCAGATCAAAGCAGTCGATTAGGTCAGGTCAATCTGCCTGGATTGTTTGGTAATAATTTAGTAATCTAGTAGAATCTAAAACTTTCTGTGTAACTGCAACTACTATGAATATCTGAGTTTGTACAGGATCACACCACAACTGTATCCATTCTCTGTGCAACATCGGAGCTCTACTGTTTCCACAGGAGTGTTTCAGTGCAATAAAGGAGGTTTCCCTTCAGAGAGCTTGCTTTGAAAATGCATACAGTACATGCCTTCAGTTCTGGATTCAGTACAGTTAAGTTAAAGAGCAATATAAATTGACAAACACATGTATGTGTAAGGAGACGATAATTGGAAATTGCCAGACAACTGAAATACTTTATAGTAGTTTAAATTGACAGAAAATAGTATGCTTTATAAAACTGTTGAATAACCCACTCTGCTCTTTCTGTATTCAAATGAGTTAAGTGCCACTCTCCTATTACAGACTAACAAGTAAGATGCTTTTTTGTTCAGTTAGCAGGAAGGTGGTGTTCATGCTGTTTGGAAGTCAGAGTGCATACTGATATGAAGGGGAAGTAATTGGTAGATGAACAGCCCACCTAGGTAACGAACTTTAAAACATACTCCATTTATTTGTTTAAGGCCATTTCTGGCACTGAACTTTCCAAATTAGTGTCTCCAGTTTCTCTCTGTTCTTTTGACACTGTCCAGATTTTTCGTTGAGAATTTGAAGCTGTAGCAATGAGCCTGGCCAAGGGGGAAAAAAACCTTTTGAAGGTTTCCCACAGCTGTGAAAACACAAGCCGCTGGCTGTGGTGAGACTTACTTCAAACAGCTGCTTCAGGTGACTGAACACCTTGAGTCTCATTCATCAAATGCTGTTTACTTGGGCTGACAGGCCAGACCTGCCAAGAATTAACTTGTAGGAAGAAGGATGCAGTACACAAGGAGTGTGAGAACTTGGAATGGAAGGATCAGTTCAGCTGAGCTTGGTCACTGCAAATTACATGTTTTGATGTAAGGTCATGATTTGTCATTTGCTTTACTTTTGTTTTTCTCGGAAGCAAGATATTAAACTGATCATTCATTATTTCTGTACTGGACAGCCAAACCCATTCTAGAGAGAAGAGAAGGTTTCAGTTATGGCAGTAAAGTGTTTTAATTGCCACAGGTGTTTAGGTCGTCTGGTCTACAGAGGAATCAGGTGAACTAAGACTTTAGGAAGGTGAACTAAGGACTGAAAGGTGCAGGATTTTCATGTTCAACTGTTAGCAGAATGATTGTCCTTTTCAAGAGATTTATTGATTTATTTAAAGCAAAATTGTATAACACTTATGAATGACCCAGACCGGAGCATACAGCAAATCCATATCTCAATTCCTCTTGTAAATAAATCATTTCTACAAAGTTTGTTATAAAGTTTGGTATTTTTAAAAGATTATTTTATTTGAAATCCACCAATGGCAGTATTTTTAGAAAAAAAAATGATCCCACGTGAGTGTATTGTGTTTGTAGTCCATAAGGAATGAACTATGATTGCTCATACTGTAGGTGTTAAAACTGAAGCATGTCACAGGTATGTATGGAGGGATGTGTTTATCTTGAGTTGTGAATTAGATTTCTTGCTGTATGGGGAATATCCACAATTCTTAGACTATACTCTTTTATAGAAAGGATGTTGATGCTTAAAATTAAGGGTTAAGTACATAGCACTTAAAATGTAATTACTATGTAAATACAAATTTAATCACAAGCAATTTCAGTGCTACTAAAAATACATGTTCTTCCTATCTATGAATGCAGACACATTGAAAATCATTTAACAAATTATAAATGCTTCAGTTTAGGATTTAATTGAAATTATATAATGCTACTATTACCCCTCTTACTGTATGACTACTATCCTTATGGAAGCTCACCTCAATAACATATATCATTGCATATTTTATCATAATGTTTCAAACTGGTTTTGCTGTGGTTGAACTATATGTTTGCTGTGTTTACAGCCTGCCTCCCCTGTGCCTTTCTACAGTGAGCAACACTCTGTACAACAGTAATTCCTAACCATGGTAGAGAGTATCATGGGATTCTTATGATCCTCTGTAAGAAAGCGCATTGAAAGCATGTTCAAACCATACAAGCAGATGGAGTTGAAAGCATGCAAATATACTGTGGTAATTTGACCAAGAATTGGACTCTTCCTGTCAATACTTTGGCTGTGTCCTGTCATCACTTTGGCTTTTTTCCTGGCAATACTTTAGCTTTGTCAATATTTGGCAATCTTCTGCTGTACTGCTGAACCACTAGTGTTTCCATGAGCCTATTTTGTCATTTGCTATCCTTATAACTGTTTTCGTTTGCTTAAATTTTTTTTACTCCTACTGTTAAGCACTTTAAGATGCTACTTTTAAATGTGTTATAGAAATTAAAGCACATTATTATTATTATTAGTATTACTTATTAGTTGTGTGAAACATTTGTTTCCATATAAATACGTAAAAGTCAGGGCTCTTCCCTGCCAAACTCTCTAACGCGACATTACAGTAACCCTAAAATCTGAGCTGAGTTTCCAGGACCGTCAGGGTTTGCTGTGTCTGTACAGGAAGCCCGGTGGTGGCATGTATATTTAGCAAATGATAAACCTGAGTAGTGTATGATTGCACAGAGCCCCAGTCCCCCTCAGGCATTCTCCCACACATTTAACACTATTATCTGCATCTGTAATAATAAAGGATAATTTGTTGTGATTATGTCCCTTTACTTTATCTCAAACCTGTATCTAATTTCTAAACTGATTCAGCATTACCTTCCTCTGCGTGGGGTGTTTTCCTAGCAACAGTAAACCCAGCTATCGGGAGGTTTACATTTAACTGTGTCGTCTCCATCCGAGATCTTCAGTATTAAGTGCAAACCCATCAAGGAATCCTTTCCCTTGTTTGTCCGGCCATAATAACATACGTTTCTAAAATTCCAACCTTCACCACCCACAAGGGAAGACCAAAACAATAATGTACTTTGAAATGAAAAGGGGAATTATTATCACTAGTGGAGTGAAATCAGGCAGCATTAACAAACATTTAGTTTTTCACACTGAAATCAAGCAGCGGCCGGCAACACTAATCTTTAATTTTGTATTGTCCAGGTCAAATTGAAGCAAAATAAAACATAAAAAATAAGTCCTAAAAATATTGAGCACTACATTTTTGCCTGAACTAAAATCACAAAGCAAAGCTAAGCGACGGCTTCACAAGCAGTTAACATTTAAAACATCTTCTGATCCTGCCTTTTCTTTGTTCTTTATTGACTGCATGAGTGATGTGATTTCTACTTGCATTTCTAGGTTAAGTCAATTTTCTGTTAATAATATTTTGTGAGAGTATAAATTGCAAGACTTTTCATGTTTTATCAATTAAATAACTTCTTAAAAATCTATAAATAAACCACATAACGTTGATAATATATGATGTATGACCTACAGGCCCGAAGCCATCAGGTCAGCGAGGTGTAAGTTACTGTAAATTTTATTTCCACTTCCACTTCTTGTTTATACAGTTATGTCTTCTAAAAAGGAGGAAAAAAACTGTTGTGTACACGACAAGGAATGCTCATTAAATTAATGCTTTGTGGTATGAAGTAATGGCACATCATTCTGTAAAAAAATCTATTTTGATTTTTTTAGCCTTTGTGTGTCAACTTAAACAACAGACGACAAATTGTTCCGCCAATGCTGACACACAATTCTGCAATGCATGTTGGTTACAATAAGATGAATGCTTTTCAGATTTAAATATAGTTCAGAGGAATTATTACAGAAATCTGACATTTACTTTGTTCCTAGAATAATTTAACCTGTCATACTTCTGTGCTTGACAGTTAGGGGGAAGCCTCTTTGTTGCTGAATAATGGCACATCAGTTTGGATTAAATTGAGTTTAACTTTGTAAGAATCTGCTGCAGCTCTGATACAAAACTCAATAAAAAGAATCACTTCCAGATGCTCTGGTCTGTACCACACATGCAGTGTGGGATATCAGTAGGCAAAGTGCCTTTTGTATCACACGATAATGTACTGTACAGTGATAACCTGTCCTTGATTAGACGGATCCACGTGTTTTTTTGTTTTATCTTCCATCTCATTTGGAAGCCCTTGTCAAATCTGGTACAAAGAACCTTTCGGGTGACTCAACGGCAAGATTTTTTTGATGTGACAGAATCCTTTTAGAACAGCCTGACACTAGTATAAAAATGAAATGTCGCAATAAAAAAAGCTGCTTCACACAGACATGAAAATATATTATATTTTAAAAAAAGGTAGCTTAATTGAGACATTCACTGCATTAGCTTACAGATGTAAAACAAGCACTTTACTAAATTTTCTGAATTCCAATTGTGATAATTTTCCTCACATTTGTTATTTTAAATTGGGGAAAAATGAGACATCTTTTAAGTCCTGTTTAGCCCCTATATTTCCAGGAAAAACCTCAATTAAAACATTAAAAAGTTTAATTTCATAATTAATTAGTGAATATACAGGGCAGATGGTGTTGTCTCACAGCTTTACACTGGCCATAAGCAAATCCCTCCATAGATGTTTCCATACACCTCAATGTTTCCTGTTGGTGATTTTCTTCTTCAGATCCCCGCTTGGTTCCGTCAGGATCCTTCCGTAACAGCTTTCCGCCGATTCCCTCCGCAGTCTCTCATTATTATCCTGCCCTGGGATAGCTGGTGGGACAAGCAGGGATACAAAACGTTCTCCTGCAGAAGAATGTACTGTAAATTTTAGTATGAATGTATGTAAATATTTGTTCAAGGTATGTTTATTTTGGCAACGCTGCTAATATACTTTGATGTATTACAAAGTGAAGATTAAGAGATTACAGTGAGCAGTCCCTTTATTTTTTTGTCTTCGTATAATACACTTTTGAAGTAAAAGTTTACCCCTGTTACAGAGCTGCTGCCTGTCAAGTCTCCGGCCTTCAGACTCCGCTCTGTCACAGTGAGTGTGATTTTTTGTGTACGGGCATTGCTCGCACACACCCGCACCCACACGCAGAATGTAGAAGGATGCTGGATGTGATTGAAAATGATTGATGCAGACAGAGAGGGGAGAATCACAGACTGTCAGAAGATAAATGAGTTAAGTGTGCATGATGTGAACCGCATCTGACATCGCAGAGGTGGAATCAAAGAGTGAGCAACCTCTGACAACACACGCTCCACTGCACTGACCACTGTGGTTCTGCAGAACTCACACATCTTGGAGTAAAATAATTGTTTGTTTGAGGATTTTCTATACTGTATCACATATTGACATGTACAGACATATAGACCACTTTTCCTGAAATGAATGACTAACTGTCAAACACCTTTGTAAAAGAACTTAGGATTGTTATATTATGTTAGAACCATATATTTCTGGTTAAGCTTTCTGGAAAATGATAAATATCACATGTAAAAGTGAAAAGAATAGCCTATATTACATTTCAGGACTCTATTCAAGAAGAAAAGGTATAAGTCACTGTGAACATCATGTTATTTCCAGGAGGTTTGAGTAACACATCTGTGGCACAATAATGAGCAGCAGATTCAGGAGGCAGAGCGAAAACACAATTTATCCTCCTTAAAGTCAGATTTTTCTTTCATGCAAGGTTTTTTTTTCAGGAACACAAGAGAATGAAACACAAGGGGCCACAACTTTCCCTTCCGTAGAAATAACTTGACATTTAAAAAAAAAGAGCGACATGATTTTCACTAACCAGTGTGCCTACAAACGGTGCTGGAGAGAGTTGCCAGGGACTGGGGGAGCACTGAGATGAGCCCACTCACACACCCCTCCTTCCAAACCACTCCGTAGCACATGGCCACTCCTGGCACTGAGGGAGGCACTTTGGTGTGACAACACAGAGAAACTCCAAACTGCCACACAACCTGTGCAGTGCAGTACATGCATTGTGTTGTGTGTTAGTACTGGTCCAGTTTACCAAACACATACAGCACCAAAAAAAAAAAAAAAAGAAGTTAATATACTGTATGGTAATGAGAAAATAAATGACAATATCATGCGTGTTACGAAAGGCTTTGTTTTTCATGTCCCCTATAATCAGGCGTTGCAGTTGGGTATTTTAAAAACATGTAGCATATTTTATTAGAAATGTCCTAATACTTAAGCAATTTAATGTTAAACATATTAAGAAATGCAACTGTCCTTTTCCCAAAATAATAAGTTCTGCTTCTTAAAGACACACAGCGCTGGAGCTTTGACATTTCAGAGTTCAACACTTCAGTATCACCTGATTTTTTTATTACCTGATTAATCAAGCTGTTTGAAGTGTGAGAACTAACACCCTGTCATTAAAATCCTCAAGTACAGCAAATGAGAGTGTACTACATCATTTGTTCTTCAATTAGCAAACCCGATACAGAAGATCTTACCTGATTGTTTTTTTTTTTAATCATTTTTTGAAATCTTGTTTTTAAGTATGCAGGGAATTTGTGCATGTTTGGTCCTTCATAGTGTGTGTCATTAAATACATGAAAGACATTTGAATTCTATAAGCAATGGATGCTCTGTTCAGTTGCTTTTTCACATAACTTTTTTATAGTTCACTGATTTCAAGTGCTAGTTTTTTTGAGGGTTTTCATAGACACAAAGCTTATATTTTCATTTGGCCATCTAAATAATAGTGATGCACAGATTACTTATTGTCACTCTTTCATAACAAATGTGATATAAGAAAAATAGACAAACCACAGGATAACACAGAAAATGACTGTTTTCTTAAGCATAAGCTAGCGACCCCTGTCTAATTTCAAGCACTCAATCAGATCAGCATTTTGTGGCAGATTCGAGTCTACATTTTATTTGTACTGTATGCAGTTATACTGTTTTATATGACAGTTGTCTTTATAATATACTGACTATAACAACAACTGCAGTATGTTATGAACAGACAGTGGAGGCTGTCACTGGACACTGTAGAAATAATTATATTTCAGTATGTAACGTCCAGGAACATTCCCAAAGAATGCCCTTGAATGAACACTGAAGACATCTGTATTGCCAAATACAATTTTCACTACTCCTGCGTAATGTATGTCGTTGGAAATGTCTGTTTGGGCCTAATCCTTATTGTGTCAATATTTATATCTACATATAATTAATCATCTGGGTATTACCCCTGAAGTAGTCTCACTCCCTATAGTTTTAATTGACTTAGGAAAAATAAAATTCCTCCACCATTGATAAAGAACAGCAAAACAGCCTCACAGCCCAAAACTTAATTGGAAAGCTGTTTGTGTTCAGACCTGATTCTGAAGTTTATCAAACACGTTATCATCTTTTTGTCTTTGTTTAGTCATTTTCAGTAATGCTGTCTTTTTGTTACAAAAAGACATTGATAACAACAACAAGTGCATTGCTTTAATCTGCGTGACAGATTAGAGAAGGCTTAGGCAGAGGCAGCGCGCGCTTACGCAGGGGCCTGACATGTGTGGCGATGACCTTTGCCTTGTTTAGGGCAGCGGCTCACATGCAGATTTTGTGCACAAGTTGAGCAGTCCTAGTCTGCACGAACGAAACCCTGGGAACCTGAGCGTACTGGAGTGCTTTTCCAAAGAATGGGTGGGGTTAAGGGTCAGAGACTTTGAGGCAACGGCATGAGTAAAATAAGCAGATTCTCCTACAGCCTGCAAATTGCATGGGCAAAGTGTGAAAGGGACCCATTTTCCTTTAAAGTGTTGTGAAGTGCTGCAAGATACATGAAGATTCAAGCAGATGGACTTCTGCTCGTCAGTGCCAATGATCATCTATCCAAAAAGCAACATTTTTAATGGGGTTTTGAAAGGGACAAAGTATCATTTGTTAAGAAAATTGCTAATTTTCCCAGCTAGTGAAGGAGATTATGGTGCATAGAAGGCTGATAGTGTGATTTTTTTTCTAAAAGTTTTGCCCATGCCTTAAATCATTAGCCAAACACATTAAGAGCTGTATTCTGTGACAAGGGGTGTAACATTCAACCTTGTTTTATGCATTAACAAATAGAACAAGGTCTCCATTTATTTTTCTAGCTTATTTATCAAAACGCCCTTTCCTTCTCAAGTGTGGTTATGTACCATTTTCATTGTTTCCGTATACAGTACGTGTTCTTTGTAGTCCTCAGTATCAGAGCATTGATGAATATTGCTTTAACTACAGATTTAATGTGTTTAAACAGTAGAAGGGACAGATATTATGGTAAGTGAGTTTACAGAGAAAGGGAAAGCCTTAGCTTTATTGTTCTGCATTGTTGATGTTTTTTTTCCATTAATTATTTTTTCTGTTTTGCTATATAGAATATATATTGCTTCTACTAGTAGTACTCTTGCAGAGTCACATCAGTAGAGAGCTCTCAGACTATAGAAAACTGAAAAAAATAAAAACTCCAAACTCCGGTTGAAGTCCTACTGTTTAAAGAAGAAAACATTTTGTGAATTTCCAACCCTGTAATTTCATGACTTTCAATAACCACATTGCTGGACTAGCTAATTAATGTTTGCGCAGCTGCCCTGACTGAGAAACAGTTTGGCAGCTACTGTATGAGTGTGTATAATAAAATACAGTATTTGACATGGACGGACCTATACAGGTATACATTTACAAACACATAGAATATACTATAACTTTCATGGTCAAAAGCTGTATTTTTAAGATTTGGTTCAATACAATGTTAACGAGCCCCAATTTTTCTATTTGCAACTCACCCAACTCAAATCAGACAGTTGACCCTCTAAAACAGATTTCAACATGTATATGTACAGATTTTCACAGAAAGCTGGTTGAATAATTAATACACTCTTTAAATAATCTATGATGAAGTTTCTTCCCCTGTCTGACTGTTTTCTTTAAAAAATAATTTAGATTATAAAATATATACTTACCTATTCACAGAAGTGAACAATATATTTTTATTTGAAGTACATTTGAATATTATTTTATTACAGATGTTTGCTTTTTTCTTATTATGATACTAAGGTTAATAATTTCCTCTGTATTACGGAGCTGAAGAGTTAGTTTTAACAACAGATGGACTGTGTCACAATCAGGCTCGGGGCCTGTCTACAGGCCTCAGAATTTAATTAGTGACTTGGCCCAATCACAGTGTTACGAAGCTAAGTGATGTGATCAAAGGATTAGACACCCATCTGAAGGCACAACTGTTATACCTTTAATTTTTTTGTTCTGAAATCTGTGAACACTTGGCCAGCAATAAAGAATTCTTTAGTTGAAGGCAACAGAAGGAAGTCTTAAAATGACATTAAATGACAAAGTAAAAATAATAGAAATTTGGCATTGCATGACAGAAGCTTAACATGTTTTTGTCAAGTGGTAAATTTTTGACAAAGCGAACCAACTGGCCTATTTCTAGATGCAAAAATGAACAAGAGCATTTATTGACTTTGGTGTTGATTTGTTTTCTACTCCTACTGTTATTTGCTTTTTAAAAAGAGAAATTTAAGGCAGGAAAAGTTTATTGATATGCTTGCTAAATACATTTCTTATTAAAAACATCTTGTAACAGATTTATCTGAAGAAGAGTCATTATCCCACTTGAACAATGTTACACAGGACATGTAACAAGAAGGGTTTGATTTTTATTAATCACATTTTTGTCTCCATGTAGAACATTGTCTCTCAAAATAATGTTTTGAGGTACAGGTAGAGAAATAGTGACTATTGCGGTTTTCTTTCTTGCCTGGGGGTGACAGAGGATGCCGAAAACTACAGCTGAATATCTATTTAAATAATTTAAGGCAGTCTGAAACTAGATGCAGAGATAATATACTAAAAGGTGCACTAATTTCTCATTTCTTTCAGTTACAGCTTTAATGGGAAGACAGACACACAGAAATAATTTTTGGAGGATCTAAAATTAAGACGGGCAGAGGGTCTTTTTTGGAAGAGTGAAAGCTGTGCTTGGTTGTCCTGGAGCTGAGCTGTCTTTCACCCTTTTCCACTTTTGAACTAATGCCTGTTCCCTCAAAGCTTCAGTCACAATCTGCTTATTATCTCTTTACCAGCACGTAAAGCAGAAGATAAATAAAAGAATATTGCAATTTAAAGAATGTTTTCCTCAGTCTTGTATTTGCAAATGTAAGATAGTTTCTCTAAGAAGCAGGAAAGAAGTAAATCGCAAAACACATCTTTAATGCAAATTGAATGATGATACTATTTATTCCAGTAATACCTTATTTACCTAGCTGCTAGGAGAATATCTAACCCCAGAGCTATTTCTTTTTTATGTTAGACAAAGGTAGCAGATGAGATAGCAGAAACCAGGAGGGGGGCCAGTGTCCCCCTGAATTTGATCAATGAACTCAATTACAGCCCCATCCGGGAGACTTGCAGCCTCTCTTTAGGATGATGCATCGTACGCTGCGCACCTGACACATCTCCCAAAATCTCTTCAATAAATAAGAGGGGAACTCTGGAGCGCTGAGCTTTTTTTTCCTAACAGCTCTTGCACGGTCCCGGCTGATTTCTCCTCGCTAGGGTAGCCGCTAATACATTCCTGGCTCCTATGCATTATTAATGCTTACCGCTCTCCAAGGTGGCAGTGACAAATAGGGAGCAAAACTCACTGACTAGCGGTGAATGTACTTTTTAGTCATGCTTGAATTTTTTCAGTCCATTCTGCTGGTAGAGGATTTTTTTTTCTTTTCTCCTTGGTAGACGTAGCAGAATGTATTTTGAAGAGGCGCTCAACTTACCGGTGGAAAAACCTAGGAGTATAGGCTGGTCCCGGGAGGCCTGGTGGGAGAATGGTGAACTGGGAAAAAAAAAAGTAGCTTTGATGTTTTAGTCTGGGAAGAGCCTTTCCTTCTCATGCCTTTGCAGCGGTTCCCCAGTTGAGCCTTAGTTTAGCTTGATGTCAAGTGTGCTTTATTTCTTTTTTTATAATAGGAAGCAATGATCTGCCTGAATATACTGGAGCTCGAGTCACCGGCGCCATGCAGAAGTGGGAGTGAGGAAGAGTGAAGAGGAAGTTATTGAAGAGACACCACTCGGGGCGAAGGAGTTAGCAGCCTCCCTTGGGGGACAGAACCTTGGGAAATTAACCCAGATTCTTCACAGTCACTGATTTCACTGACTGCTGATCAGTACCTGATAGTGACAGGAGGGGACTTTCGTGGAATTAGAAGAATATACTTCAAATAGTTTGATTTGCCACAAATCAGAGTTAATTCCTTTATCAACCAAGTATCATCCAGTAGTGCACCACTGGCCTGCCTAAACTATCTTAAGCAATATGACAAGACCTGAGAGGCAAAGGTTGACGTACGCAATCCAATCAGGCAAGTCTCGATCATCCTGGCAGTGAGTAAAGTAAAGACAAGGTTATTTCCCCTGATTTATAAATGCGCTTCAACAAAACTCAGAGTCAACTATAGGATAACAGAGACCACTGTAGAGAGAAGTATGGGTTAAATAACTTTTTTTTTCTTTTTCAAGGTTTAGAGCATTTGTATTGCTTCAATTGAATTAAGCAATTATGGAGCAGTCTGAGCCTGGTGCTGTTTAGCAATGGGTGGATGTGGTTCTGTCTCACAGAATCCCATGTTACAGTTTCTGAGTACAGAGACAGAAACTTGGTTCTTCTTTAGGTCCCTAGATGATCAATTAAAAATACTTTTTTTTCGTGAAATAATTAGTTGACATTTGCTCTTATTAAACAGATGTTCACATAACTTCTACTAATAAAATTGAAACAGACAAAACAAATTAATGGGAACTAGTTGGTTATATATAATTATTACGTTTTTGGTTGTATTTTTTATTGAGTGTAGATAAAACATTTGAGGGGTGGAAAGAAACTAAGTAAAGGAAGAATTAAGCTACTGTTTCTGTCTGCATTGTGTTGTGTATCACATGTTGAAAGACACGTTTTTTAAATAGCAAACCTGAATTCAACAGGTACCTAATTTGATTAATAAAAACACATATTTAGAAAGTTATACCACACAAATTAATACATCTTCTGATATGTCTAACATTTTCTGTAGATATTGAAATGCACAGTGGATTGCATATAAAAACATATGCTGTTTTTGGAGTTTCAGTAAGCATTTGTAAGTCATACATAATTAGCATCTTAAATAATTGTATTACTTTAAGTAATAGATAATTACTTAAAGAATTGTCTATTATTGTATTATGTAATAGGAATTGATATTATTGTATTCGAGGCATCTTGTCAGTAAAAATGAACGTGATCTCATCATGAAATAAAAAGGGATATTTCATCAGTAGTCCAGTGGAGAAGCAATAAAAATTACATAATTCGTGTGATTATGATAGGTAATATTCAAAAGACCTTTCATGGTATAAAAAGACATCTAGATTTATGATAAGTCTGTATCTTATTGTAGTTCAGTTCACTGCTCAAAGCTAGTATTATCAATCGGCTACTTTGGAATACTTTTGAAGTGCTATACATCAAGGTGGGAATATTGATCGTTCCCCCACACAGAAAGCAAGCATTTAGTATTTTGGAGAGGCATGTGTTTTAATAAGTATACACACTACAGATTTCATGGTGTCTTTAAAGTAAACTCTGTATTTACATTCCTTTGGCAACAGGCATATTTAGATTCCAGACATGATGACTTTAAAACATGCTTGCCTTCATAGGAGTGGACTTGAAAAAGCATGCTCCTGAATATTAGACAGTTTGTTGGGATTAGAGCGATGGGGACTATCAAATCTATTCCTGATGAGGTGACTAGCTACTTTCAGCTCCAACAGTTTACATTTTTTCCTAATTCTGCTTTGCTTCAGTGGTGCTCTTTAGACCCTTTGAAGTAGAACTCCACTTTAAATAAATGCCTCACTGCTATCTACAAGCTGAACTTATGTTTCAGCTAAATTGGCTGATTTCATTACAGTCAGGTGAAGAGCCTTTGATTTCTAAGCAAGAGTGGGTTTTAACAGCGTAGCTGTTCAGATGTTAGGCTTGTCAGCGGAACAGCAGCAGGTGTGAAGTTTTAACTGTTTCACTCACAGATGCCAGCTTCTGGATTTTAGGCACTTACACAACTGACTAATCCCTTATGTATTTTAATGAACGTTTTTCCCCTACCGAGCTCAAACTAATGTTCACGAATCTCTGCCTGTAATTTCAACTTAACGTATCAAACCAGCCAAGTAAGACTGAATGTGATGAAGAGGCTTAAGAACTCATAATCCTCAATGTCTATTAAATGTGATTTTTCGAACATAATACAAGCTTCCTTTTTTCTTTCATCACGTAATTTACAAAAGGTGTATTGCAAAACAGCACAACAAATCAATTACATTTTTAGTAAACTCTTTATTACAACTGCATTTTAATTTGGTACAAAGGAGCACGCTTACATAAAGAAAAAATATTATCTATGCTGTATTTCTCAAATATTTTAAATGATTTCTGTAAGATATGTTTATAAATTTTATTCTTCTTAAATTTAGGTTTGCATTGCAATGACTGTTTAAATTGTAAAATTTTAAGTTTGACCTTAAAAAAATAAGCTAAAAAAATAAGCAATGGCTTTAATACTGTATAAACATGAGAAAGTGAAATTTATCTTTCAATATCAACATACAGTACCTCCTCTGTGAATAGGGACAAATTTACTAAATATAGTCCTCTTAGACTGATGAGCCGTGAGAGAAATTTACAGGATAACCATGCTGTCTGCACAATTAAGAAATGCTGAAATTAAGTTCTTTTGCTACAACTTACCTTTCTTCAAATCCAGCATTTGTATGAAAACAGACAAAAGAAAGTCTCCAGGCTATTTCTTTCACAGTGGTCACAAAATCAGATGAGCTCCAAGTTCAGGTTGAGGCACAGATTAGCCTCGAGTTGTGAAGATGTAAGGGTCCATGCTCAACCTGCGTTCCCCCATCACCAGATCCCACTGAAAGGGATGTGACAGAGTAATTTACATCACAGCCATAACCCCAGAATGAAAAGAGTCACAGTTGCTCTGCTTAATTAAATTAAGGAATTTCTCATTCTTCCTTTTTTTGTAAATGCCTTTTCGCCACTACCTTAGCTCCTCACAACACAGGCTTTAAAAACAAACATTAGTAACGAGGAGACTTAATTCCCTTGTCCATTTTGGTGATGTGTCACTTTGCGTCTCTGTCTAAATATGGCTGGGAGGGTTAGGTGAAAGAATAAATCCAGGGTGAAATGGGAATGACCTGAGTACCCGAGGGTAATGTTAAAATGAAAATCAACCCAAAAGGTGTACATTTAAATGTGTTACGATATATATGTATGTATGTATTTAAAAAATGGAAACAGAATTTACTGTATTAGGGTTTTTTTTTTAAATGAAAGAAAGTGCTATAAGGAATGTGTCAGTTCCTCTTGAGCTGTCCATCCACAGCAGATCAATAGACTTTCCAAGCATGGGACATTCTGGCTTTCACTCTGAGAAATTGAAGGTCTCAAATAAGTCAGGGCAGCAACACAGGTCCATCATTGTATGTCACAGAAATGAAATGAGTTGTCTCCATATAGATCGATGGCTGACATAACGCTCGGCTACTGAAAGGAAAATGTAACAGCCAAACGAGGTTTCGTAAAGTTATTACCTAGACTTCTTTCAGAAAACTGTGCGTTGATGCATTGCACGAGTTTTTCTTGTACAGTGCATAAGAAATACACAAAGTTGAAAAAAGACCTGAAATTCACTGCCTGATGTTTGCCCCTTGTATTTCTCAACATTAATTGCAGGGTTTGCCAGAGCTATGGCAGGACATGGCATGGAGCATAGATCAAAATTCCTTACTGCACAAGAAGCAACTTCCACAGTACAGTATATGGGTATAGTACACCTGTAACTTACATTCGACATAAGGATGTGGGCAGTTAAGGAAGAACATGGCAACTTGTAACTCGCACCTGGAAATCAAAACTGGAAATTAATACACACTATGAAATTGTTTCATAAATGTACACAAATGTATGTACAGTATGTACAGTATACATAGCAATATGTCCTTGTATGTCCATGAACTGTTTCATCAAAGATTTTATAAAGTGAAATAGATTGTTCTTGAAGAAACAGAATCAGACAGGTTAAAACCTTTCAACAACAAGAGAATAAGTCAGTATCAAGGCTTTACATTTATTATGTGTTTAAATAAAGCCCAACGTAGCTATGGAAATGTTGGGTTCAGATCTCCCAGAGACCTCGGATCGATAGTTGTGTGGATGCAAAATGCTTGCAACTTCAAAGCACCTGTACGTTTATGATATACGCATTAAATTCACACTAAATGACATTGCAAATCACCATGAGTAATAAAAGAGGCACTGTCAGTGTAAAATTTTCAAAATACATTTTGTTTACTTTTGACCGTTGTATTAATTTTTCATGTGGTGAATTGACTTTTAAATGTCTGCGTGGCACAGATCCTCTGTCATTAACTGATTCTATTCAGAGACAATCAGATGTCGGCTGAATGTTTAGTTAGGAACCTGCAAGTGGGAATTGTAGAGAGGCAGGGCATAAGACAATATTTGCTCAGACATTATTTTCTATAAAAGCTGTAGATTTCTCGAATGTACTGCCAGATCAGTTTAAATAGCTCTGGTTTCTACATAGAAACAAAAACCTTTGAATTGTTGTGTTACAACAAAAGCAAATACAACAATTACTTCCTGTTTTTCATGTATAATACTGTAAATTAAAAACTTGAAATACTGAATTTATTTTTCTTTTCATTGCCATTTTGCTGTGTTAAGCATGCTTATGTCTGATGAAGCAATTTACCACATCCCTTTTCTAGAAATTAAAAAATAAGAATATTCGATGTCTGACTTTTCATGTATAATGCAAAGTCATATTTATAATTTATTCATAACAGGTGGTTTGGCTTAAATTGATAAAAATCGGCGATTAGCCATGATCAGCAGTACCCCAGTGTATTTAAAGGTATTCTTTTTTGGCAATTCTGTTAAA